TTCCTGGGGTGATTCTCCCCGAACAGGAGACAGCAGCCAGTGGAGCAGTTGCATTCTCACTCATATTCCTAAATCCCTGTGCTGTGCTCAGCCAAACAACAACTGAATCACCTGGGTGTTAGTTACACTCCGATAAAGCTATCAGGGAAATGCAGCTGGTTTTAGATCCTGTGCCAAAGCTGACCCTACAAAATGTGTCCTGACTCCCAATCATGGGGTCACCCCGCTGTATTGTTCCCATTTCATTCACCCACACAAAACCCCCTTCCCCTCACACTGCCCCAGCTCACAGACACAGCCCCAGAGCTGAGGTCTCAGAGGGTTTGAAGGAGAATTCGGGGTCTGGGGTGTTTGTGTGGAGACAAAGATTCCTGGGYTCTCACCAAGGCTGGCTTTGGAAGGACGTCAGAAATACAGCTTTATGCATCTGAGGATAATAGAGATGAATCCCCCACTCTACATCAGGAAGTTTAACTGGGCTAAGAGCTTATTTAGCACACAGTTAGAGAAGTCATATCAAATAAAGGAAGGTAGGACTGAAAAAAGAATCAGGTTAGAATTGTTTGCATTGGAATACAGAAAAAAGAGTAAACAACTCAGGGACTACATTTTCCGTACCTGCTGACTGTACACAGCCAGGACTGAGAAAAACAGGGGCAGAAAGTACGCGGCAATATATATGAAGGGAAAGAGGAAAATAAAAATAGAACATCTGAACAGATGTGAGGGACATTGTGAAAACAGGCAGGAGATACAGTGTGACTGCAGAGGGGACTGCAAAAGATTGAAGAGAGTGAAGGGAAGAAGCCTGGCTGACCATGAAAAGCCAAGGGACAACAGAAATGTGGAATTCCACCTTTGTTTGAAAAACAAAACCAGACTGGTGCCCGGGAATTCCCTGTTTACAGGATGTGCTTTGCTGGGCGCTGGGAGGAGTGCGGGACAGCGCGGAGCCCCCGAATCCCGCACCCTCCAGCCCGTCCCAAAGCACATCCCCTGCTGTCCCCGCTGTCCCCGTGTCCCCAGAGCCCACCTGCCCCACATCCCCTCACCGAATCGCATCCAGTCGTAGTCGCTCAAGCAGTCCATCTTCTGGCAGAAGTCCTCCAGCACCCAGGCGGGCATGCTGTGGATATAGAGCACCGGGGCCGAGCCCCCTCGGAGGGCGAGCGGCTGCTGCTGTAGGGCCATGGYCCCGGGGTCCCTGTCCGGACAGCGCTTCGTCCCCATCAGCAGCGGCCGCGCATGGTGCGCTGAGGCACGAACCTCTCCGGTTCTCTCGCTGAGATTCTCCTTCTCCGGGGGGCTGCCCCGGTCCCGGGGGGCACAGCCCGCACAGCCGGTCCCGGGGATACAGCCCGCACAGCCTGTTCCGGGGATACAGCCCCTACAGCCGGTCCCGGGGATACAGACCCTACAGCCTGTTCCGGGGATACAGCCCGCACAGCCTGTACCGGGGATACAGACCCTACAGCCGGTCCCGGGGGCTATCCGCACAGCCTGTACCGGGGATACAGACCCTACAGCCTATCCCGGGGATACAGACCCTACAGCCTATCCCGGGGATACAGTCCGCACAGCCTGTACCGGACACAGCCCCTACAGCCGGTCCCGGGGATACAGCCCCTACAGCCGGTCCCGGGGATACAGCCCCTACAGCCGGTCCCGGGGATACAGACCCTACAGCCGGTCCCGGACCCAGCGCGCTGCCGGGCACAGAGCCTCCGCACGGCCACAAACCTCCACAGCCTCCGAGCCCTGCTTCCTGCTCCGGCTGACGTCAGGCCCGGCCCCAGATGCAAATCACATTTTCCTTTCCATGAGTGGTTGTTGCTCCAGCCCGATTGCCAAATTACGAGTTTCACGTGACGGAAGCGAAGATGTTTTCCCGGCTGTTGCGCGCTGGTGGTACCGGGCGGGCGGGATGTGCGGGCGGGAGCGGGGCCGGAGCCGCGGGCACTCAGCGGTCATTCCCTCCTCACTCGGCGGTCATTCCCTCCTCACTCAGCGCTCATCCCCTCCTCACTCAATGCTCATCCCCTCCTCACTCAGCGCTCATCCCCTCCTCACTCAGCGCTCATCCCCTCCTCACTCAGCGGTCATTCCCTTTCCGTGGCCATGGAAAGGGGGGATGCAAACAGGACCCCCCAACAGCTCCACCCGCCACGCTCCTCACCCTGGGCAGCGACACAAAGATCGCACAACGCTTGAGAARCGCACGGGCTGCAGCGGAGAGGCACCGAAAGCGCCCCAGGTGATTCCGCGGGGATGCTCCGAAAAGGGTTTGCATCGCTGCAGCACAAAGAGCTCACCCCTTACAGCGTGTGGGACAGGCAGAGAGCGAGAATTAAACAACAGCAGAAGTGGCCACAGAGCCAGATCTCGCTTGTCAAGGATTAGGTTTAAAATGTGTTCTTAAAGTCAACAATTTTTCTTTAATTTTATCTGGCTTTGATAAAAATGTATGATTTATTAATTTGCCAGTGTAAATGCTACAAATACTTATGGCTAAAAGGACAGCCAGTCCTTACTGCCAGTAATACATAACTGTAACCATCCCTTCTGCTTTTGTTCATATTTAACCCTAGGTCTAAATTTGTATGAATTGCAAGGAGTGTTGTAAGTTTGTAAGTTTTGAGAGCTTATAATTTACTATTACTTCATACTCTGCATATATGTTACAGTACAGCTAACTCTTGTTTTCAGTTTCAAACTTTAACTTTTGCAGTTTTCTATACTCAGAAATCGTGAACCTGTCAAATGAACTTCTTAGCCCCACTGTGGCAAGGAAAAGCTGAAAAATGAAATGTTGTAGCTATAAGATAAAAAGACAGGAAAAAATAAACAGAAATATCCAAAACATATTTAAAATATGAAAACTCAAAGACTGCCTTGGGATGAGCTGTTTTAACAGTAGTACCAGTTCAACAATAAGTTGCATTTATGGGGTTTTCCCCTCCCTTTGCCCTGCTGACTGTCCCTCTGACACACACCAACATGCTTTCATGGGAACATGRTCAGAACAACTCTGAAAGTGATGTAAGATGAGCTTGAAATAGTGTTGCAAAGAACTAAATAAAAGTAGGAAGGAAAGACTTCTTCCCCTTGGTACTAGAAGAACTTGTGAAACCATTTGAACTATTTGCCTCGGGGGAAACAAGGGGAAAGAACACATCCAACTGTGTGTATGAACAATCCTGTCTATTCCTGCTGTTCAGCCTTCCCTTTCCAACGCTCTGTGGGCAGGACTGTGCCCTGCTGTGTGCTCTGCTCAAGCCCTGGGACACTGCACCATGTCAGAACCATTTATTTCTCAGGGGTTTCTCCATTCAGCTCCCTGGGGAGCAGTTCCCAGCACACTGAGCTGCTCTCTGCTGCTCCCGGGACAGCCAATGAAGGGCTGCTGCCATCAGCTCAAACACCAAGTTTTGCTGCTGCCACAAGTAAATGAGGACTTTCACTCATTCCTAAACCATCTGAGGAACGAGTAGGAAGCTGCTTTTCCCAGTGTTCATGTGTTCGAGCCAGCCGGGGCTTCTCCAATCTTTTATTCTGATCCAAAGGAGCACTCCAGAACAGAAAAATRCACTCTAGTGAGACAAGAAATCACARACCCCATAAACTCAGAAATACCCAGAACATGTGTGCATGTACAGACTGTTAATCCCAGTASCTAATACCAGCTTTGGTACAGGAAGCAGCCAGCTTTCTGCTGAGGTGTGGCAGAGCTGCCAGAACTGCAGTGACATCAGCAGGGATCTTCCTCTCGGGTATGGTCAGGAGAGCACAGCACCCTCCAACCCTCAGCTTCTCCAGGGCACTGCCCCTACTCCCGAGGCTGCATGGGCTCACTTTCCCCTCAGAGATCGAGGAGAGGTGCTAAGGGCAGAATTTGTCACATAGGCCTGTTTCTGCCCAGACACTGCCTGAAACTGTGCTGGTAGCTCAGGAGAGCCACAACACAGCCCTGCAGCAACAGGGTGGGCAGATTGTACAGCCCAAAGTGTCTGTTCACTGACCAACCACAACAACTGTCAGAGTTATCACAGGGATACAAACACACAGGTGCTGGGGAGTTACCTGACAGAATTACAGTCAGGAAGCTAGCATGCATTTCCATTTTTATTTCAAAAGATCAATTTCTAACTTCAAATATGTAAGAAAAACAAATTTATAAATAGGGAGACATTGCATACTTACAAAATACATTGAGATTCTCAGTTTTTCTCTGAATGTACAACTGGAAGGAAACAAGCACAGAAATAACCTCTGTAATCAATCTCCTGTCAATCTGCTTCTAACCTGAGCAGCACATCTTGCTAGGTGGGCAGCTCACACGACTCTAAAACTACACTGCTTTGAACTCTCTGAGTGCATTCGTAGCAGAGCACATCCACTGAGAGGTGGGGGAACAGAATACAGGCAAAGAAATGTTCTGTTTCTCCAGGCTGCCTCTAAGCATGGCCCAGCTTGTGAGCTGGCTGTGTGAGCCAGTACATCTCCCCCTGGTCCCAAGAAGATGCAGGAGTTTGAGAAGCCCTTGCYCTCTGAAAAGGCCTCTTGCTACAGCCTGGACTACAGTACTGCAAGGGAAAAGGACAGGACTTAAAGCATTTCCTCCTGTGAACCCTGTACAGGCTGCTGGGGAATTCTGGGGTGTCCCAAAACTAAGATCTGGTCTGTGTGGCTGAGATCAGCCAGGCAAGAATCCCATGACTAAGGCAAACAGGGCATCAAGGTATAATGAGAGTAAAAACATGCCAGACCCAGAGCAGATATGACATGGCTTTGTGYGTGGAAAGGTAAGAGGCAGAAAATCCCCCAAGCATTTACACATCCTCTTTCCACCATCGTGTTTGTCACGTCCTCAGGTGCTGCTGGAAACCCTCATGTACAAACCCCCCATGTTCTGTGACCCACAGGCACATTGAGGCTACACGTGAAAGGGAAATTCCATCAAAAGAAATGAAACAAAACYGATGACACTTRTAACMATYAGTCTGGCCTAAATGAATCCTTGGTGTAAYTTTCTTTCTAATACWATGAAAATTACTGAGTATGAATATTTTCCATATAACTTCCCCGATCTTATATTCCTATGGCTTACAATACATGTAATGAAGAAATTAACTGAACCATCAGAACCTGGCATGCCTCCAGGTGCTGCTCAGTCTTTGGGACTTGACTTACTACCACCAATGTTACAGAGTTTATGTTCCAAGACTTTAAATGGAGGCATCAGGTCTTGCTGTGTTTCCTGGTGACTCTCATTGCTCAAAGTCAGTGTTTGCTACTGAGGAGTCTGAAATGAGTAATGGTGTTATTCCAGAATTTGGTTCCTCAGCACTTCATTCCTCTCCAGAGAAAGCCGTTGAAGATCCTTCCAAATATCAGGATGATCCTCCAGCTCTTCATACAAGGACTGAACAATGTCCAGTTTCCTGTAGTCCATCGGGCTGACCAAACTGCGCACAACCTGCAGACATCTCTCCTTCAGGGTGAACACTGCAGTGAAACACAAATCCAACACAACCTTGTCATGAGGGCTCTCAGTGCTGCTCCAATGTCGATGATGCTGCTCTGAGCACGTGAACACAGCCCAAAGCAGTGTCACCATCACAGGCTGGGCTCACCAGAGAGAGGAGAGCCATGGTTCCTACCATGGGGCACCTATGAACCTCCTCAAGAGATGTATTTAAAGGACAGGTCTGCCACTAGTTCTATCCAACACAACAGCTCTACCTAGAGCTCCTCACCCTCTTTCCAGTATCTGGGCAGGTTGAATTTCACGAGGTTCTGATTTCTCACTAATCCTAGCAGGTCCAAAGAGACCAAGTTCTGAATTTCTTAGGGCACGTATGGTCCTGTCCCTTACCTGGCAGCGTGATGTCAGCTTTGGTCACATTGGGGGCCGCTATGAACAGCTCCTGCTGGTTGACGAGCAGCCCGTCATCGGTCCCCGCATCCCGGAACAGCCACAGGTGCCCTGGAGGGAGCAAAGTGGGAATGCACCAATTGTGGCCATTTTAATGAGTGGCTTTGAGGGGCATCTGCTCCCAAGGGACCGAGCTGCTCTCCAGCTCAGCTCACTGTGCACAGACCACTACCATGGTGCCGTCAGTGGTATGAACGGGGAGAGGAAAGGAAAAAGGGGAAAAAGAGAAAAAAACAGAAATTAAAGGGAAAAGGAGCAAAGGAAATGGGAAAAGGAGAGGGGAAAAGAAGGAAGAAAGGCAAAGGATATGGAGAGAGAAATGGGGAAAAGGAAGGGAAAAATAAAAGTCGAAGAAAGAAAAAGGGAAGAGAAAGGATAAGGAAAAACAAGGGGGAGGAGAGGGAAAAAGGCCAATCGCACCGCCACCATCTCCCCCAGGCGGCCCCACAGCGGCCCGTCCCGCCGCACCCACCCCGGTAGCTGCGCATGACGCGGCCCGTGCGCGGCTGCAGCACCGGGTAGCGGCGCGGCCGGCCCTCGAAATCCAGCCAGACGGGCAGCACGCAGCGGGGGCTGTGGTTGTTGAACACGACCTCAGAGAGCTCCCGCGTGTTGACAGAACGCAGGACAGGCTCAGGCTCGACCGCACCCGGAGCGCCCGGGCCCGGCGGCGCCATCGCACCCGGTACCGCCCCGGTACGGCCCCGCGCATGCGCCAGGAGCGCCCCGGTCTGCCTCAGCCCGGTACCGCGCATGCGCCAGGAGCGGCTCTGCCCTGCCTCAGCCCGGCCCCGGTACCGCGCATGCGCACAGCGCGCACAGCTCACAGCCTCAGCCCGGCCCCGGTACCGCGCATGCGCCAGGAGCGGCTCTGCTCCGCCTCAGCCTCAGCCCGGCCCCGGTACCGCGCATGCGCACAGCGCGCACAGCTCACAGCCTCGGCCCGGCCCCGGTACCGCGCATGCGCCAGGAGCGCCCCGCCTGTGCCCAGCCCCGGCACCGCCCCGCGCATGCGCACAGCTCACAGCCCGGCCGGAAGGGGCGGGGCCTGCCCTGTCCTGAGGGAGCCCTGAGGGCCGGGTCCCGATGGCGCTGTCCCGCACAGCGCCGCGCCCAACCCTTGCAACAAACGGACCAAAAAAAGCTGCTATTCCTCAGTGTCTGCTGCTAATCTTCCATACAAACAAAACTGCGTGCTTTCACAGCAACCGCTTCAAACTGTACAACTCAGAGCACACATTCACACTTGTAASAGAGCAGAGCAGATTATTCCTGTACATTATGTCCTTCCTGCATTCTTCAATCTGGACGTGAACCAGAAAAAGACMGCAATTAGGRCTTAYCTCTATGCAAAACTTCAAAAACTTTATTAATTGTTAATTAACCTCTGAACAGTTACACATACTTAACATGGACACARCTATAATGCAAATGGCAAATTGGCAATGTGTTTCCAGTCTCTGGTGAGCAGAGTAAGAGGTTTGAGAAATCATAGTATGGTCAAAGAAGAAAACATTTGCAACAATATTTCTGTGAATACTGTGGCAGCAGAACTACAGTAGTTAAAACACCTAAGAAATACAAATTGCCACTTCAATGTGTCCACAGTAGACACCGAAAACATGAACTTTTAAATAAAACTGCTAAAAGAATCTCTGTTCTCAAACAGTAACTACAAACCATTTTCTAAGGCTCTGTGAGTTACCCCCTCAGCCATGGCAGTGGAACACTAAAATATGGATTAGACATTTACTGKTAATTAGCACTAAGTGAGGTAACAGGCAAGAGAACCAGTAGCACAGCACACTGTTTGCAGCTGGAATTTGCTTATCACACCAGATACTGGTTTAGTATTCATGCTGAGCAATGGTATAAATTAGAAAATTAAATTAGAGATWCTACCTCTGAACCGTTTAAGGTGACAATCTTAGTAATACTGTTAGTCAGTTTAAGATACAGCTTGGTAAATGAATTGTTACCCCCAGAGCTGCCTCAACAACTATTCTACTGTAAGTGGAAGAAATGAACATTTAACTGAAACATACAAGGGAAGACTCAGACCAAGGAAAGAATTACTAATTCCACTCCTGAATTTAAGTTTGGGYGGCACRGAGCAGAGGTGATATAAGTAATAAGGTTTCAGAACACACAGTAGAACAGGCAGCTCTTGTGTTGATCCCGAGTTTCTGCATAGGCCGTTTGGCTTTGGAACCAACAGACCCATGTCCTCGGGTGTCAGCTTTACCAGATGGCTGCTGTACAAAGTCTAGAGGTGTCTCTTGTCTTGTTCCCCACAGTTTACCAGAAGGAGCTCCTCTCCTCTGCTCTCTCCCAGGTGCGCCTCAGCAGATACACCGCAGCGTGGAGTCCCCCCACGTTCACCCACACCGTCTGAGCTCTGCGCCAGATATGTCCCACGCGYGATAAGGCCTGCAAGCCAAAACCAGACAAAGAATGGCATTAATAACRTTACTTTKTATTATTCTATATCATGTCTGATGGCAACATCAAGGGACTTTCCAGRTCCAAAACTGYATTTAAATGTTACTAATTTTTGCTCTGTAAATGGASTATCTTTTGTRAYGATGAYAGCTTAYARTTTTTCCCTCAATGTTATTTTCAAGTACAAGCAGATTAGATTTTCTCTCACAGAACAAACCTTGGCAAAGCATTTCTTGTCCTGGGTAAGCAGCACAGCCCTGCCTGTCCCCGGGGTGCAGATCCGGCCCATCTCCATCAGGCAMGCTGGGTACAGATCCCAGTTCTTCTTCTTGGACCCCATCCTGCAAGACACATTCAGATCTCCATTGTGATCACCAATACCAGTTCACTGCTCCCAGACACTGATCAGTCATTCAGGGCCACAGCCACTGACACTTTCCAGGTTCATTTTTAACACAGACTCCATCACTCCTCCCAACCAGGCCCAGGTCAGTACCCAACAGGGGAGAAGCTTTGCCCTAGAGCAGGAGAGTGCTCACAGCCACATCAGCGAGGCCCAGCACCTTTGCAGCACAGCTCACCTCTTGCCAAAGGGCATGTCTGTCACCACAATGTCCACAGAGCCAGTCCGCAGGGGCAGGTTACAGATATCCCACTGGATGATGTCCAAGGGAACGCCCAGGGCGCTGCTGCTGCAACAGCAAAGGCATTACCTCAGACATGAGCACGCAGAATGTTTTTACTCTGGGAGGTCTAGAACACTGGCACCAAAATAAACAGCAAAGTATGAACCAGACACTCAAACGGATCCATGCAAAGTATGAACCAGACACTCAAACGGATCAATGCAAAGTGAATTTCTGTGGATACAGTGCTGCAGGAAAGGAAAATCCCTCATGCTCCTCTCACCTGTCCTTACTCTCGTTTTTCCTCAGTAAGGAGCAGATGTTGTTTGCTGCCCTCTTCACTGCCTGAGGGCTGTTATCCCCTGCAATGTGGTAGCAGTAGGGCCATTCTGTAGCTCCCTGGGGAGAAAATCATAATATGCAATGTCAGCATCAACATTGCTTGACTGAAAAAAAAACCCAGAATAATTTCTCAAACAACAGAATACAAAAAAGCGACTTCAAGTGGATGGCAGGGAATTTAGAACTCTTTAACAGATAGTTCTATTATGCAACTTTAAAGCTCAAAATACTTTTCAATTTAGTTTCTTCCTGCTATGTCCTAGGGAAGGAAAATGAGGTCATTTACAAAAAGTGYATTTGTATCTGTTCAAAAGTTGGTGAGATTGGAGCTTACTATTGAGTCATGACCAAGAAGACACACATATTATTCAGTTGCAGATACAGACAAGTTTGAGTAAGTTTMAGAAAATCAAGGAAGAATCACCTCTATTGGTATGGCACCCGTACCACACATGGGATCAACTATGATATCTGTGGGCTGGGGATCACAGAGTCTGAGGAAGAGAAGAAAASATATGGTGAGAAATGTCTTAAAAACCTGCATTTCTGTAAAGAAGGGAAAACGAACTATTTCAATCACTCTGATTCTACCCTTTTAACAAAAAACTTAATRTGATTATTTTTTCCACTTGTTAATTACTATTTTATAACCAGCAATACAGTGMAATACTTTCAAGAATGTAATACACTATTTTGGAACTTGGCTAGTACAGCGAATGTTTAATTTCCTTGGCTGGGAAACACCCTCTGTTATTACAAGGCAGTGGGGGAGCTAAAAGGTCCAATTTCTGAAACAAAATGATTTGTTAACTGAGCATAACACAATGAACTGCCCTGACCTGAGCATGCCGTACGCCAGAGTGGAACGCAGCGTTGTGGGTCCAAAGTGTGTGATATTTCGTCTGTGGAGACTCTCTTCAGTTAATGCAATCCCCACCACRACTTCATTGTTGTGAATGTTCAAAAGAACCTGAAGAAAAAACTTGAAGTGAATTTCAGGAGTAACGAGCTTTTCACAGAATGCCTGGTAAATATTCATGGGAATCTGAGATGGTAATTTAAAATCCCAGAATGAATATAAAAGAGCTTTTCTTCTTGGAAGTAAAGCAAAGCACCATTTTAATAAGACAGAATTCAGGAGAGCACTCACACACTCTCCCATTCACACTGAATCTGTCACACAAGACTTCTCAAAGTGCTATAACCATTGCTCTGGCTTTTTAAAAGGTTTGGTTTGTGAAYTTGGGGGAGAAGCCAGGTACGTCCTGCAAGACATAGTGAAGCATCAGCAAAGCAGCAATAGAAATTGTATTTGTGGTGGGGACCACATTAACTAGGAAGTGACATCTCATTCCAGGGYACTGGCCAGCCCTTAGTAAACCTGCAAGAAAAACTTAAATCTGCCCCTCAAAAACGGTGCTCCCACAACCACCAGCAGCCAGGGAATATTGGTTGTATTTTCCAGCCCCTGCTCTCCCCTGACGGGAAATAAACACAGGACAGCAGTTGTTAACTCTTCCTGTCCCCTTCACCCCAAACCAGCTTCCATATGGAGTATCTTCTGGTAATTTAGACTTATATTAAACAATCTATTAAGGAAAGATTTACTGAAGGTGAAAGCAAGGCAAGTGCTTGGATCAGAGAACACACATAATGTGCTAGAAAAATGAATGCTTCAGGGGAGGCCAGTTTCAGCATTACCAGTTTTCAGTTCCAGAGTCTCTGGAAGGCAGATTGGGGATCTCTAAGCATCAGAATTAAGAACTAAATATTTGTCCAGCAGAAACAGAGCTATTTCCAACACACACCATTATACCTCCACATCAAAATTRGTCATGTCAGCTTTCCACTGGAAGTGCTCCTGCACAGCTCCGCCGAAGTCTCTGGCAGCCTCATTCGATGTGAAGCTGTGCTTGTCTCCAGCYCTGTTGCACGTCACTCGGAACCTCAGCACCTTGGGCTCTCCTTCCCTGGTCTGACCATCACCAGCCTTGGTGCCACTCTCAGAACCTGCCTGCACTTCACCTTTCACATCTGATTGCTCATCATCTGCCTCCTCCTCCAGCCCATCTCTGGATGCCACTCCTTGGGGCTTCTCTGYATTCTGCCCACCAGCCACAGCCTCAAGGTTTTGGGCACAGTCCTCCTGGTCATTAGTGTTACTTTGGTCTGCTCCACCCTCTTCTCCACCATCATTCATCCTCTCTCTGCTTGCAGTACCCTGCAGATTGTGTTTTTTGCGTTTTGTCTTTTTCTTTTTCAAGCTGTTGTTCAACTCCCAAACTTTCAATGGATCAGTCCAGCACAGCTTTTTAACCAAATCTTCCAAGTCCTTTAGAGCATCTTCCTTTAACAGACAGAAAAAGTTGTAGTTTGAAGTTACTCCATCCATTTAAAAGTTATGCTTTATATTTAAGTCTCTCAAAGTAGTTTATTAGGCATTTACCCATCTACATGTTTAAGCAAAACTTAGAGGTTTTTGTCTGTTTTTTTTGTCATAACTAAACAGAATTACACTGAAAATCACAAGACCCACAGGATTTCATCATTTATCTTGTAAAATGAACAACTAATGCTATACTAAGTGACCAAAGAGACACTTCACTGTCCTGTGTTGGTGACCTACAAACATGGCATCAGCTCTCATCCCATATTTTGCCAATGCAAAATATTTAACTAGAAATTATGTTAGAATGATGCCTGATGATTTTTGCTTTTCCTTTTTACGCTTTCTGTACCCTCTATGCATCCGCCTGTACCCCTTAGCCCACATGTTTATAATTCCTGRAGCTTGATATTCCAGCTTAGTTTAGGAATTCTACTAGGCAGAGACCAAACATGCTGAGGAAGGAGTCAGTGTCCCCTGTGCTATCTTAAACCCAAGGCTCCAGCCTTGAGTGAAGCCTTCTGTCTAGAACATCTTGTGTAAACTGGGCTCATCCTGGGGAGAAATTCATTAGAATAAAGAGACATTACTGCATTTGTTAAGTTTCTTATCAGAAAATCCTAGACAGATATGCTAATTCCTGAAACCTATAAAACTTGTACCCGTGCTGTACACGGGTGTGCATTCTGCCATCAAGTTGTGCACCTGAAATCCCAAATACCAAAGTAAAACCCTTTTTATCCCCTTAACCGTGTCTGTCATTATTAAAACTGGCCTTTCAAGGCAACAAGACAACATGGCCACAGATCCATTTACAAGCCAGAAAACAGGAACTGGAATAATATCACAAATAGAAAACTTGTTAAACAAATAGAATGCTTTGATAYTAGTCTTAAATTAGAAACCCCAAACACTTCAAACCCCAGAACTGACTGAAAAATGAGGAGTAACTCACCTTATTTTCTTTAAATTGATAGTATTTGAACTCCTGAACAACAACAAATAAATTATCCACTGACCTCAGACGATGGACCTGGAAGAGAYGAGAATGCACGGCGACCCATTACTAACGGTGTGCCATGGGGGCTGTGCTTAAACTCGTTACAATTTTGATGTTTTATGTGGTGGTTTCAGAGACCACGGTTTTCCACCTTTAGTCCCCAAGGGAGTTGTCAGTTTATGTATTTGTACTGATCAACGTTCCCATCCATCATTTCATGTCCCTTCAAACTCCGGTAAAGGAGGATACAGCTGCTGCACGCAGGCCGGCCGCGATGGGGTGCGGGATGATGTCGGTACCGGCGGCCATCCCCACCGAACCGAACCGAACCGGGCTGGGCTGGGACACACCGAACTGAACCGAACCGGGCTGGGACACACCAAACCGGGCTGGGACACACCGAACCGGGCTGGGACACACCGAACCGGGCTGGGCTGGGACACACCGAACCG